ACACAGAATTAAAAGTGGATCAGAATAAACAGCGGTTTAACAAGAGAATAAACGTCATGAGACAATATATGGTTAATTACCATAGAGCTAGCAATAGCTTTTAGCTCAAAGGAGTGAAGAAATCACTGTGGAATGATGTGACCAGGAAAAGCTTCACAGCATTAGTAAGGAGGGCTTGACCTAGACCTTGAAGGGTGAGATTTGAATATGCTGAGAGAGAGGGAGAAGGGATTACGGGGGAGGTAACTGCAGTGGGCAAAGGTTCCTGTGGCTGAAGAAAGCTGTGGGGAGTGGCTGGCAGGCACAAGACCTGGGTTTTAGTCCTTCAGTGACTTTAAAAGCTCTTAGGCAGGTCACTTTTACCATCCCTTCATCCACTGCTGCTCCTTAACACAAAATGTAATCAAGGATCCCTTGTGTCCCTTCCAGCTCTCTAATAACATTACTGCTGCCACAAATAGAACTGGGAGGGAAGAGTAGAGCTATCTTTTGGGACTCCTTCAACGCCAAGCAAAGGAATTTAATAGTTCGGTCAGAGGAACCCAGTGAAAGTTTTTGAAAAGAGAAATATGACTGAGGAGGATTGAATTAATATGTGAAAGCATATATGTAAACACTATGTAAGTTTTGGCTAATATTATTATTAATTTGGCATCATTATAGGGAAGACTAGAGGGGGAAGAGCAAACTAGCTGGGAGATAAGCAAGTGGTCACCATGGACCAGAACTCAATGGCAGCAGAGAGTAACGTTCGGGGTCTTGGGTTTGTTTGAATCCTAGACATTCATTACTCTCACACATCTGCTCCAAGTTCTCGTTTGCTACCCTTTCCCAGGGTCCTACTGAAAGTGTTTAGTGTCAGGGAGCATTTTGAGTCTGAAAAATATTTCTGCTCAAATCACAGCGTCAGGTTTTGTGAAGGTTTTTGTACAGTCTGACTCTAGCATTGAACTTCCTAGGTAGCTAGTGAAGATTTATAAAGATTTAAAATACTGCTATATTTTATTAAAATAACGTGACTAACAAAAATGTACAACTGAAATCTCACAAGGTTGTAATCTATCATAACATTAATAAAAAAAAATTATACAAATACTACATATCCATAGTGACAAAAGTAGAAAACACAGAAAAGTACAAATTTTTAAAAGCTATCTTTAACCCAGATGTGACCACTGTTAATGTTTTGTGTTAATGGCATCAAAGCATAGAGGAAGCTTTAGATTCTAAGAAAACAGTTTTGAGCAGGTGATTTGCTTCGTGGCGCTATGGCTGACTCCTTAACTTTTAATGTGTGTGGTCTTTCTCCAGTGAAACAATCACTTCCTCATGGGCAGAGAAGTTCTTTTCCACATCGTGCTCTGCCCTTCAGTACCTAATGCTGAATAAAGTTACAGTAATGGATTTCAAAGGAAGAAGCGATGATTAATTTCCCCCAAATTACCTTTTCATCATAGCATTGTCATGCTCAAATACCTTTAAGGGTTCCCCCTGCCTGAGAATCACTTTCCAACTCTTTTTTTTTTTTTTTTTGAGGAAGATTAGCCATGAGCTAACATCTCCTGCCAATTCTCCTCTTTTTGCTGAGGAAGACTGGCCCTGAGCTAACATATGTGCCCATCCTCCTCTACTTTATATGTGGGACGCCTGCCACAGCATGGCTTGCCAAGTGGTGCTACCTCCGCACCTGCGATCCAAACCAGGGAACCCCGGGCTGCCGAAGCTGAACATGCAAACTTAACCGCTGCACCACCAGGCCAGCCCCTACTTTCCCACTCTTTGATCAGATATTCAAGGATCTCCAAAATGTGATTCCAACCAGGCTTATCTGGTTGAAACTTTCTGCAACGACTGGTCTAGATTTTTTATCCCATGAACATGTCATACTTAACTATGTGCCTTTGCCTCGTCTGATTTCCTTTTCCTAGAACGTCTTTCTCATTCTTTGCTATCTATTCAAATCCTATTCATTCTTCCAAAGTCCAGTTCAATGATGGCCTGTATATAATTTTCTCCAGTCATTTCAACTCATGTTAAATGCTCACTCATAAGTGTCTCAGCACTGTTAGTCTACTAATACTCATTTTGGCACTTAATCAGATAGTATCCTATACTTTTAGTGTTAGCCAAATCTTGTAAATATATGGATCATATGTAAACCCTTGTATATATTCTTGTAAATATTTTCTTGTAAATATTTTGTTTGTTGCTCTAAAATAATTTTTAAGTATGATGAAGGAAGAGACTATGTTCTATGCTTCTTTTATATCACACCAACGTTTACCATTTGCACAACATGGATCGACCGTGAAGGCACTGTGCTGAGTGAAACAAGTAAGACAGAGGAAGACAAATACCATATGATCTCACTTATATGCGGAATATAAAAAAGAAATCAAACTCATAGAAAAAGAGAGAGACCTACGGTTACCCGAGGCAGAGGGTGGGGGAAGGAGACTTGGAGGAAGGTGGTGAAAGGCGCAGACTTCCAGTCACGAGTTAAACAAAGCCAGGGATGCAACGTACAACGGGAGGCCGAGGGCCAACACTGCTGTGCGATGCACATCACCAGCAGAAAGTCTTTTCCCTTCTTTCTTTTTATTGTATCTATATGAGAAGATGGACGTTAGCTGAACCACTGTAGTAATCATTTCACAATGTATGTAAATCAAACCATCATGCTGTATGCCTTAAATTTATACAGTGATATTTGTCAATTATTTCTCAATAAAACTGGGGAAAGAAATGAACAAAATGAGGATAAACAGGACTTCTACCACCTGACCAACGTGACTTCCCAGCGTAGGGAAACAAGAAAGGAGTAAAGGAAGAGATTCTCAAGTCAAGTAGGGAAAGCGTTCCTTTGGGATAGGAAAAGGGCTTTGCAGTCTGGGGAATGGATGCTTTCTGTGGGAGGGACAGAGCAAGTGGCTGTAAGAAAGGCCATAAGGATAAACAAAGGGTGGAAATTCTGTTTAAAAAGGTGAGAAACAGGGAGGAGGTATGTACCTAGGGAGAAAGTCTGAACTTAGGAAAGGTAAGCAAGGTTGAAGGGTGGGGAAAGTACAGGAAAGAGTGATGTATATGCTTTAGGGTTTATTGAAATGTTGCTCTCTAGAAAATTAAACTTTCAAATTAATCCTGGTCTCTCAAATTCAATTAAAAAAAATAAAACCTAACGGGTCTTGCCTAATCTTAAACTTAGAGAAAAGTAAATACAATGAGAATGACACATGTGAAAGTCTCTTCACAATATGGGGCCTGGTCCACAAAAAGCACTCAAATGTGGAACGAGATCCAGCTAAGCTCCACAATCCTGGAGTCTCCAGACACACCCGGAGAGCGTGGCCACTGGTGATTTCGGTTATCAACATAACGAATAGAAATGTATTTCTTACCTTTGTCTTCTCCCTGTTCACCAATAACCCATACTTCTTTTCCTGAAGTTTGTGCTCTCAAGACATTTGTAATAATATATTGTAATCTCTGTGAATCCAGATTGCATCCAATTCCAATCACTCGATTTGCAGGAAATGCGCTCAGTTTCCATGTCACGTAGGTCATGATTTCCACTGAATATCACATACAAGGTGAAAATGTAAAGATTTTTAAAAATATACTTCTAGCCTACTTCATAAACAAAATATTTGTTATTTACTAAGTATATTAGAGCTTCTATACACTCTTCTTAGGTCCTAAATGTACGGTGAGGCATAATATATTTTTAATGTATATTAAAAACACTAACCAGGTATCAGCATGATTTTACATCCCTTTGTTGTTAAATATAAATTGTTAAGAGTGAAAACAGATAATTTCCTAGAATAGTTAAGCAAGAAGGATGAAAACTGGGTACAGAAAACTAGAGAGTCCTAAGTTTTTTTTTCATTGATCAAGTTCTTTTTTATATCTCTTAAGCTACATTTCTATCTTTAAATTAAAATAATGATTCATGTACCACCACTAAGGAGTACAGCATTAAGAACAAAAACACAACTACTTTTTTCTGCCATGCCAAAAGGATGTCAGGTTTAAAGAGACCAATGTCCCTCAACCAATTCCTGTAGGAAAACAAGTGAAATGCATACTACACCCTATACTGGGAACATTAAAAATGCTGTTCACCAACCTGATTCCAGTACCATCTAATTCTTTGAAAACATTTCTTTTTTAACCAAAACAGTGGTGAAACAATTTAAAAAATACAAAATGTTGGGGCCGGCCCTGTGGCAGAGTGGTTAAGTTTGCACACTCCGCTGCAGGCAGCCCAGTGTTTCGTTGGTTCGAATCCTGGGTGGGGACATGGCACTGCTCATCAAGCCACGCTGAGGTGGCGTCCCACATGCCACAACTAGAAGGACCCACAACGAAGAATATACAACTATGTACCGGGAGGCTTTGGGGAGAAAAAGGAAAAAAATAAAAATCTTTAAAAAAAAAATACAAAATGTTAAAAATGCACACTGGCATGCTCACTAACATTTTATGCCACTTCAGAGTTAACAAAATGTCCGCTATATAAGCCACTGCATTTTTCTCTTGAGTGTTTTACCATCTTCTCACTGAGGAAGACATGGCTAACAACCTGGAACATAATAATGGTAATATTACATAAAAATTGTAAGTTGTAAACTTTCCAGTTAATGCCAGTCATAACAAGTACCTGGTTGATAGGATATGGAAATACCTATATTGTTCATTATAAGAGCAATTTAACTGAATAGTCTGTCCCTTTATAATCTAGTTTTATGACTTTTATCAGTAATGGCAATTCTATCGATGCACTGAGCCATCAGATTAATTTAAAATAAAACTTTTTACCTGGTTGTGATGCAACAAGCAGGACACCATGTTGACTATAATGTCCCAGAGCGGGGACAAGGGCTCTGAACATATCCACGTTGCTCTGCACCACGTCAAGGTAGGACTGAGAACTACCCAAAGAGTTAACCGTGAAGATCACCACCTTGGAATGAGCAGAGGCAGACAAATCTAGTGAATAAAAAGAAACAGTCTGAGCTCAAGATACAGGTTTTAATCAAGTTCTTGTTCTTGTTTTTCTTTTCTACAAGTAGAGAGCTTTTAGGCACACTTGCCCTCAGATCACTCCCGTCTCCACAGGGAGTCAAGGGGGGAAAGTTAGCAATAAAGACAAAGAAAATAAATTACAGGATCCAGAACCAACAAACAAGGACTTAGTTTTTCATGTAATTCACAATTTTCTTAAGGAAAATAAGTAATATGCCATAGGCAAAATGAACCTATAATCAATCACATCACTGATTTTTGAAGGGTGAGTGTAGAGTCCTAGAGTTCCTTGAAAGTGACTCAGAGGCCATCTGGGAGGAGTGGGAATAAGTGGAAAGAAGGTTGGTAGGCACGGCTCCAAGCTGTTTACTTTGACCTCTGCTTGCATCTGTTTCATTTATTAAGGATTCTACTCCAAAGAGGAAAAAAATAGTTTGAAAATCTTTAAATCAAGATAAAATGTCTTGGGTCATTTTTTATCGACTTTTTCTTATACTGAAACGCAGTGTCCTTGGTTTTAGGTGTTTTCAGTGGGACCTACAGGTAAGCAACTGTTAGGACTTAGGAAAAGCCATTCCTAGCTCCACTCCTCTGATCCTGAAGCACACATGTGCTTTCACATTACTCTCTATTACACAATGTGTTTTATAGTAAGTGCATGCCAAAACAGTGGCCAGGCATTATTAGCATCAGAAACAACAGAAAAATAATAAAGTAACTAGAATGGCATCAGTCCAGTCAACACTCCTAAATGAATATTAGCATTCCAGGGAGACAATGAGTAGATTCCAGGCTTTATATCTTAACTAAGCCTCTAAGGCCATCTTTCTAAAGTTTCAGAAGGAAACATTTGTGCAATGTGTCCATTGAGAAGTGCATTATCCAAGTTTAGTTCATATTCTGACACAGTCGTGGGGAGGGAAGATCCAAAAACAGAGTCCTGGAGTTTAATTATGGTTCTTCATGAGTCCTCAAGTAATTCCTGTGTTCTAGTGTTCAGAGTAGATACCTGGTGATGAGTTAAAACCTCAAGAATTGGAAGACACTGGAACTGGAAAGTATACAGTTAACATTTCCATACCACTTCTATGTGCCAGGTATTGTTCTAAGAGCTTTCTATATATTTACTCAATCAATCTAATCTACAACACACTAGGGGGTAACATCATCCCCACTTTACAGATGAGGAATCTGAGGCACAGAGAAGTTAAGTAACTTGCTCAAAGTCACAGAGGTAGTAAGTAGAACTAGAATTCAAGCCCAGGCAGTCTGGCTTCAGAGTGCTATTAAGCACTATTCTATATTTAGAAACTTAGTCCTCCATCCTCATAAACATGAGTAAATTGATATCTGGAGAGAGTAGGTGGCTTGTCCATTACTATTAAATATCAGTAAACAGTTCAATTTACGACCGTACAATTTCGCCCTGACCTATCTTGCCAGGATCATTTTTCTTTTCCCCCTTTAGCTTCCTCTACTTTGAATAATAGAAACGCCCTCACCCTCAAGGTTGACCTATGAGTAAACAGAGTGGTAGCTGTCTAATATGCTTCCAAAAGAACAAGAAAGGCTTCCTACTCCGTAAGATTTCCCCTCAAGCTCCCAAGCCTTTTACTCTTTTCTTTTGAGCCTGGAAGCTAGTATTTCTTATATCCCCCTAGGTAAACCTTGGGCTCAAGTTGAATTGGTTTATGTTCTTCCTCAGAAAATTTCTCTCACTTTCCTGATATTGGCTTTTGCTCAAATTCTTTCATCTGGAATGTTTCTCACTGCACTCACCATGTGTTTAATAACTATCTGTTTAATTGTTTACTACATTAAACATATTCTAAGTCCTATGAGAGCAGCGATTGTTTATCTTACTCATCCTTCCATCTCCAAGATCCAGTCACTTAGCAACTGGTACATTTCCCACCATCTCTGCCAATCCACATCACCCCAGTCCTGGAAGACCCAGCACTTCTCAGTCCGACTTAGCTGAAAGTAATATCTCCCTCCAGTCAACTCCAGGAGTCTCCCCTGTCTTTCCAGTCTCTTGGCAACCAATCATAAATCACCTCATTACTCCCTTCTTGTCATGAATCACTGTTTACATCTTGCCTGTGTGTCTCTCCATCTAAACTTTAACCTGCTTCCGGCCAAGTAGAGAGCCTTCCATTTCTATCAGTCCCCTGAAGCAGTTCTTAAATGCTAGGCTGGGTGCTTAAGAATAACTTGGGAAGCATAATAAAATTACAGATTATCCCATGTTCTGAAGATTTTATTTAAATAGGTAAGGGGAAATATTTCTCAGGAATGCAACTCCCCATGTAATTCTGATGCACAACTAGGTTTGGTAAATACTGCCCCACAGGCAACTAAATTCTTTTCACCTAGTAGGCACTCAGAAAATTTTTATTTGACTCTTCCTGCTCATGTCTTCCCTTAGAAGCTGGTGATTTAATGAGGGGAAAAAGATTATACAGTTATAAAGAGAATTAGGAAGAACCTTAAGCATGATTATGGAAAGCTATGCTATAAATTACAATAAGGATTATAATAGAAGTTTATTTAACAATAACACAGTAGGGTGCAAGGATTAGAACTGAGGGCTTCAGAATGAGACTGCCTGGTTCAAATCCTAACTTTACCACTTATGTATTTGCACAGCGAAAAGTTTCCTCCTGTGCCAGGGGTCAGTTAGCATCTGTACTTCCAGGACGCAAGACTCTCACCTCTATCCCATCTCCATAGGTAGCCCAGAAAAACTATATCCTTCCTGATAAGCCACTGCTTCCTAATCATAGGCCCTAGACCAGTGGCTGGTCATAGCTATACTAAGGGATACCAATCCAATACCAAGCATGTCAGAAGATCCACTAAATAATCTCATGCTCTGATATACTACTGTTCTCAGATTTCGAGGATGATGTTGTGATAAATGAAATACACATTCATTTTAAATCATTACTGAATTATTTTATTCAAAACCATGGAAAACAAGGCAATCAAAGAATGACATCTAAATGCTGTGGAGATCTCAATGAAGTATTCTAGCCAGTGCATCACTCTGAATAATGGAGACAGTACAAGTATTTCTGGTTCCCTGATATATTGCTAAACCCTTCTTCTTATAATAGAAAATTACTGAATATCGTCTTTTCAAGTTATTTTTCACTATGACTCAAAATTTTAGAAATGTGTTTGCTCTTCTGATGATGATGATAACCCTTAATTTAGAAATTGTGTTAAGATGAGAGCTATTAAAAATCTTCCTATGTTGGGAGAGGGTATCCCCAAAGAATGATTTCACAGTAGCTTTGGGCAATCTTGCAGTCAATGACTAGAAAGGGTATTTTTTCCTGGTGAAATGGATAGTTTATGTTAAACAAGAGTGCCCATATTAAAAAAGAAGGTAGGGAATTACTGCTCAGTTCAAGTTAGTGCCTTTAATGATTACTGCCACAGTGAGCTGGGTTTTGGAGTTGTATAAAGAATGCCAACACTTTCCAAGATTCATCATATGTGGCAAACTAAGGCCATGAATTCAGTAGTTATGCTATATCTCTACCTTTAGAGAGGATTGTCTGAAAAATAAAATGTATGTCTATTGATAAAATTTCCCAGTAAGAGGAAAAAATGATACAAAAATTCCAGACACCAATACTAAAAGCATGAAGAGTAATGAGTGATCAGCAAAAGGGTTGCTCTGGAAGGTCTCCTAAAGAGAAAGTGACAAGTTGTTTCGTGTGAAGGCCATGTTGAGGCTAATGAGAGTCCTCACCTAGAGTAAGTGGAAAGGGAGAAAGCAGGTAATGAAAGGCTTAAATCAATGATTCTCAATTTCAATACAGTAAATTTCAAACTTTTTTGATTGTGACCCATGCTAGGAGAAATACATTTTATATCACAACCCAGAGACAATGTATGCATATATGTATACATATAAAACAAAAACATTACATAAAATATCCTTACTATATGTGCTTTGATATTTTCTATTATTCTAGTTCATTTTTATAAAATGCTGGTCATCATCCACTATGGTGATTCCACAATCTGCAACTGTGTCACTACTCACAATGTGAAAAATATTGCTTTTAATGAGTCTAAGCAGTACCTGAGCTACTTATCTAAAATGTACATTCCCAGGCTCCACCCCTAGAAATTCACAGTCCATAGTCCTGGGGTGGATGCCAGGCAGCTGTAATTTTAAAAAGCACCTCAAGTGATTCTGATACACATGATCAATCCATAAACCATATTTTAAGAACCACTGGCTATTGAGCAAGTTTTGCTTTACTCTATATGTGAACAACAACTTATTTTTTCATTTACAACTGTTGAACACCTTTTTCTCCATGTACATACATGCATATACCCATAGACACAAACATTTATGCTTGTATATGCACAGACTATTTCTGGAGTGAATCGTGAAATTGGTAACAAACTTACATTTGAAAACCTAGCTTAGCCTCTTACTAACTGCATATCCTAAGCCACAATCTCTCTGAGAAGTAACAGGGTATGAATATATGTAAAGTATCTAACACATATACTGATTCGTTAAAAAATGGCAACTATTGGGGCTGGCCCCAAGGCCGAGTGGTTAAGTTTGCACACTCTGCTGCAGGCAGCCCAGTGTTTCGTTGGTTCGAATCCTGGGCGTGGACATGGCACTGCTCATCAAACCACGCTGAGGCAGCGTCCCACATGCCACAACTAGAAGGATCCACAAGGAAGAATATACAACTATGTACTGGGGGGCTTTGGGGAGAAAAAGGAAAAAAATAAAATCTTTAAAAAAAAGGCAACTATTACTATTATTAAGGGAAAACAGATTAACATAGTAGTGTCTTTAGTGAAGAAACGACATGATCAAAATAATATCATAGGACAATTATTGCATTAGTTATGTTTAATATAGAATAAAAGTAATCGAGAGAAAGGAAACAGGAACCCTCATATACTGTTGGTGACAGTATAAATTGATACTTCTTTGGGGACAATTTAATAATATAAATTCTAAAAACACATACCTTTTGCAACCTACACAGAATTCGAAATATATTATGATGTACATCCAAAAGCTATATAATGTTATAACCCAATGTTACTGCAATTAAAAATAAATAAACAAAAAAAAACCACATACCTTTTGACCCAGTAATTCTACTTTATCCCACTAGTTAGAGAAGTACACAAAAATTTTCATATTACAATGTTCTCTGAACTATTATTTGTAATAAAAAAAACCAAAACAACTTAGATGTCTACCAACAGGAGACAGACATCCATCTGAGCTGTTCAAAGCAATAGATCTATATATGCTATTATATAGATCTTCAAAAGCACACTATTAATTCATCAATAATTTAAACACAGAATTGCCAAATGATCCAGCAATTACACTTGTGGGTATAAACCAAAAAGAATTGAAAACAGGTGTTCAAACAAAAACTTGTACATGAATATTCATAGCAGCACTATCTACAATAGGAAAAAGATGCAACTCAAACGTCCATCAACTGATAAATGAATGAATAAAATGCGTATATCATAACATGGAATAGTATTCAGCCATAAAAAGGAATGAGGTACTGATACATGCTACAATATAGATGAACTTTGAAAACATTATGCTAAGTGAAAGAAGCCAGACACAACAGGCCACATATTGTATGACTCCATCTATATGAAATAGCCAGAAGGGGCAAATCCATGAAGCAGATTAGTGGTTGCCAGGGCTGGGGGAGAAGGGAAATGGGTACCAGGTTTTATTTTGGGGTGATGAGAATGTTCTGGAACTAGATACTGGTGACAGCTGCACAACATTGTGAATGCACTAAATGTCACCAGCAGTGAATTTTGTCATATGTATTTTAGCACAATAAAAAAATAAAGGGATAAACATATTAAGTGCAAAAAACAAGTGCAGAACCAGTTTCCCCAATCTGACTCCTGAAGCAACTACTCTTAATTCCTTCGTATTTCTCCAGACTTAGTCTATGCATACACAAGCATAACTTTGTGTATGTATGTATATGTATTTGTATGCTCATCTGTAAATATGTACATTCCTCCCCAAACTGTTTTAATAGCTCTTTAAAAAAAAACCCAAATGGAGCAAAAGCACAACTTTAGGATGATCAGTCAATTGCAGTCATCAATGCCTGTCACTGATGACTTCCAAATTTATTTCGAAATTTCCAAAACTACTGAGCTTAATTTTGCAAAATTAATGCTTCTCCATATTATATATTTATGAGATGCTAGTTAACATTATATTTAAGATTCTTCATAAAACAGTAATTAAATTAAGTGCTATCAGGAATGTACAACCAAAGTTAACAAGGGGAAAAGGAAAGGTGCCCCAAGATGGTGTGGACTCATTCAACATTCCCTGCTCGGTGGCAAGCACCATGCACTATACATCTACTCCAAGGATTCTATTCTTTCAATTATCTGAAACAATAGTTATTGATGGTTAATGAGACACATAGGAAGAAACAATTTCTTCAGGTCCTACAAGGCCTCACAGCCTCTAGGGTCCATGTACTAAAGAATTTCCTAAAGTGTTCTGGAAGAGTTAAGAGGTCCCTTAAGAACTTTAGTGCCTGGAAATGACAGGCACAAGAGAACACCTAGCTCCCCAAGGGATCCTCTATACAAGGTCTACAAAAGGATCATTAAAGCAACTACTCGTCTCTCTCAGAGCAGGAAACTGAATTCATTGTATCCTGCAGGGATCCAGAGGCTTCCCAGAACTGTTACACCCAGTTTTCATAACCTATACGTATAATTGCAACTTTTCTCACCCACTGTTGTGCTTAGTACATTCAGGCTTGTGAAACCATGTCTTGATATTTTATTTGGAAAACATGGTCAAGGAATACAGGAGACCTAATGGAAAGGCAAAGGAAAGCCAAACAACTATAACATATTACAACCTGACTTGAGCTATAAGCTGGTTTTGGAAGATCATTAAATAAGAATAAACTCCAGCATTACTCTAGTTCAATGGTCTTCCAATTCTTTTTGATGACACATCTTTAGTAATAAAATATTTTTAAGCCCACATTCCAAAATATTGTATTTACCTATATATATGTGTCTGTACTAATATATTATGTACATTATAAAATATATGCAAAATTTTTAATCAAAAATATAAGGTAAGGGGCCAACCCTGGTGGCCTAGTGGTGAAGTTTGGCATGTTCCACTTCAGTGGCCCAGGTTTGGTTCTCAGGTGTGGACCTATGTCACTCATCTGTCAGTGGCCAAGCTGTGGTGGCGGCTCACATACAAAAAGAGGAAGATTGGCAGCAGATGTTAGCTTAGGGCAAATCTTCCTCAGCAAAAAGAAAAAAAAAAAGATAAGATGAGAATTACTTTTTTAATACTTTAAATTTTATTTATTAATGATATAAAAATTCTTTTTATTCTTTTATTTTTAAAGATTTTTTTTTCCTTTTTCTCCCCAAAGTCCCCCAGTACATGGTTGTATATTTTTAGTTGTGGGTCCTTCTAGTTGTGGCATGTGGGATGCTGCCTCAGCATGGCCTGACAAGTGGTGCCAAGTCTGTGCCCAGGATCCAAACCGGTGAAATCCTGGGCCAGCGAAGCAGAGCACATGAACCCAACCACTCAGCCACGGGGCTGGCCCAACCCTTTTTATTCTTATTAAAATTTATTTTAACAGTATATTTTTAGTGAAAGCAATGTGATTTTTTTTTTAAATCTTGGTTTAGCACTTGCAATATACCAAGATGTAGGTTTTAGTGCCACTTTACAGGTGATAAAACTGAACTTTGAGAGATTATATAATCTGACAAGTGTCAGAGCTATAATGTGGCAGAGGTAGGATGCAAACCCCCATCTGTCAAACTCTAAAACCAGTGCTCTTAACCAACATATCATGAGAAAGGAAGCAATCAAAGAAAACAAATTTATACTAAAGAGCACGTCAGAAACAGAGAATAAATCCTCTGACCAATCTGAATGGTATTTGCTTGCCTGACTCTTGTTAAGATAATCAGTTACAATCTCTCTATGACTTTGGGTAAGTCACTTATCTGATCTGAATCTTAGTCTGCCAACATGTAAAATGAGGGACTTGGACTAGGTAATCTTTGATGTGCTTTCATCATTAAAATTCCAGGACGCTAGGATTTTCAGGGCTGTGAAACTACTCCATAGGACACTATAAGGGTGGATGCACATCATTATAGATATGTCCTCACCCACAGAATGGACACCAACAAGAGCGAACCCTAATAGTGTAAACTATGGACTGTAGATGATAATGTTGTAGCAAGGTAGTTTTATCAATTGCACCACTCTGGAGGGGGATGTTGACAATGGAGGAGGCTAGGCATGTGTGGGGATGGGGGTATATGGGAAATCTCTGTACCTTCTGCTCAATATTGCTATGAACCTAAAAGTGCTCTAAAAAATAAAGTATATTTAAAAAATTCTAGGACTCAATACAAGAGAAAATAAGGCAAACATCTTTTAAGCAAAATAATCAGACCTTTGCTGATCTCGACATTAGGCAGATTAAAGATGTCAAGGTCCATCGTCCCTCCTTTAGTCCCTTCTGAGAGGTCTAAGAGGACCAGTCTGTCTGCAATGCCCTGTACAGTACAACAAGAAAAAGAACAGCATTACACTGGACATGGCCACTTACTCAATTTAAATTCGTTCAGAAAGGAGAATATGCAGGCTTCATATGCTGTCTTATGAAGGAAAAGTAACACAATAGCAATAAAAGGAACACGCAAACAAGAAATTATTATGAACTTGAATAATGTGATCCCTTAGGCTTGACTGAAAACTGGAATCTAACAGGGCTTACCTCAGAAGTCACAGATTACAGGCTTCTTTTAATGGGGTAATGAATAATAGACATGACTTGGTGCACTCAATATGTTTGCTATTGTTCTAGAGTTTATGTTTTCATTTTGATATCATAATGTCCACTCTGAAAGAACTTAGAATGATTTTTTGACCATTTTAACACCTCATTTCTAGCATGAAAGTCAACACCAATGCCATGTTTCTCTTTAAAAAAAGGAAAGATAATAGCCATAAATCTAAAATAAAATCTTATTATCATGCAGTTCTCTCCCCAGAGATCTCACAGAAAATACTCCACATGCCCATAGATGGCTGCCTGGGCGCCTTGGTGAGCTGACTGTAAACGACAGCATGGAAACTCCTATGAGTCAGTTTATGTTTGGGGGACGTCTTTTTCCAAAGTAGTATGGGATGTGAGGATCTCTCCTAACTTAGAGCGCAGGGGCAAGAGGACCCAGGGATCTACCAGACTATCAGGCAGAAAGTGCAGAAGTTAAGAAAACAACCCAGCTCCGCTATGGACTAGCTCTGTAACATCAGAGAACAGTCCTCTCTATATTGTGCCTATTAATTTTATTACTGTTAACCACATTCATAAGAGAAATACAAAGAAAATTATGAGTTACCATTGCCATTTATCAGACATGCAAAGATCCAAAAGTTTAACAAAAGTCGTGTGGAAAACCAGGTATTCTCATAATCTGTGGGTATGACAATACACTGGTACATTTGATATGGGGGATAACCTGACAATTTCTAACAAAATTTAAAAACATAATAACTCTTTTAATCCATCAATCTCATTTACAGAAATTATCCTACAAGTTTATTAGTACATGTGTAAAACATACAATATGTATAAGGATATTCAAAAGACTAGAAACGACCTGAATGTCCATCAATAACAATAACAATAATGAGGCGCCATAACATAGTGGTTTGGAGCAGAGCTTCTCAAGCTTTAAGAGATCACCCTTTAACAGATGGATCACCAGGGATTTTGTTAAAGTGCAGATTTGCTTCTCTAGGTCTGGAGTGGGCCTGAGATTACGCCTTTCTAATAAGAGCTCCGATGATGCCAATGCTGCTGGTCTGAAAGCCACACACTGAGTAGTACGGATCTCGAACACAGGCTCTGTAAATGGATTGCCTATCTTCAAATCCTGTGTCCATTTACTAACAGTGTGACTTTGGGTAAGTTGCATAAACTTCCTGTGCCTTGGTTTCTTCATTTGTAAAATGGCAGTCATGACAATCCCTAAGCCTTAGGGTTGTTGTAAAACGAGCCAAGTGTTTGGACGAGTGCCTGGCACCTAGTAAGCGTTCAGTAAAGCTTAGTTACCGCTCCTACCTCCACTACCACTACTGCCACTATCGGGGCCACTATTGCACTATTTTAATATTGTACCCTGTATCAAAATACTAATGTTTACAAAGAAAAATGGAAAAAAGGTTCCATCTAGACAGTTCACAGACAAAGAAATACTGATAGTGAGATTCTTCTAACAGTTTAAGAAACATGACTTTAAGGGGCCTTCCTGTATTTGCCAAACACAAATAAAACTGATAAAACTCAAAACTGTTAGGGATGTCAAAAGTCAGATTGATGTACATGTTGTTATTAGCAGCATAAATTAGTTCTACTTTTCTGAAGAGCAATCTAGCAATATGTAATAAGTGCCATAAAAACCACTCATGCCCTCTGACTCACTAGTGCTAGTTTTGAGATTACGTCCACCTAAAAGAAAATTCAGACAAGAAAATAAGCATCTTGTAAAGCAATGTTTATAGAAGCATTCTATTTAGTAACAAAAGAACTGAAAACAATTCAAATTCCAATTAAGAGAGAAGAGTGTATTCAGATGAAGGGTGGAGAAAAGGAAACTATTATAAGCCAAAGGTAGCACATATTGCTCTGAGCAGCCAGCTTTTAAAATGTTCCAGCTCCCTGGATACAATGTAATCATCCGCTGAAGTAGAACCTACCTCCAAGACACAGGTAAGTCTTAAATGCAAAGGGAAGAATTTAGATGGCCAAGCATCAAATTTTAATAGAAAAGAAAACCAAATGCCAGCTACCACATAAACATACAGAGAGACAGCTCTTCTATCCTGGGCTGCATCCCTCAAATGACAGACACGTCCTGTTACTACGATGCTGGACCTCGAGGGTCTCTTGAACCTTTCTGCAGGGGGTTTAAGCCTTTCTGAAAATAATTTACATAGAAAAGACCTAGTAAAAAGGACTGATGGAAAAATAAACAAATCTCAAACTACTGTAAAATATCAACTTGGAAACTAGAATCCTACAAGAAAATGGAGTAATTACACAAGAAATGCAATCTTCTTTTAAAAATGCTAACTTTAGAAAGAGCTGAAATTAAGTATTATATTAAATAAGAGTTTAATTAAAGCGGCATGACTCAGCAAACACAACAATCTGTGCCTGAGTCAGATGAATGTCGAGCTGAGGTTTCCCTTGGACTGAGCTGAAGAAACCATTGTTCAGACCGCTGTTTGAAAGCCCATGCCATGACTACCTACTAATTAAGAGGCAACATACTGATGAGAGCTTTCAGCTATTTTTTTTGTCAACTCACTAAATATATTTTAAAGCAAAATTAGGTTTTCCCACATGACAAAATGAAGCCATTATTTCTTGTATGTTAAACATACACTGCCTAAAAGTGTAGCGATATGATAAATGGATTTATAACCACTAAGCTGACATACCTTTGCTGAAATTGCTAATGTGCAGGCAATTCCCAGTTCTCCACCTCCAACCACAGTAATTTTGTTTATTGTTTTATTCTCCTGATTTGCCCAGTTCTTTGAATTTATGTCTGAGACACCTAGAAAGGAAAGTGGATTATCATGAGAATTTAAAAATATCAAAAATCTTTGTAGCATCTTAAAAAAAATACACCAACCTTTAGTAACTGGGACAGAAAACATGGTGCTAGTCCACAATAGGCACTCAAACTACTTGCTTAACGAGTGAAATGCAAGAAAGACAGGACTCTCATACTAAATATTCCACTAAATAAAGGTACCCTTTTAAAAAGAATGCATCTTTCCAAACATTTAAAAAATATTATATAAGACTAAAAAACCAGGATTCCCATAATTCTGAAAATAATCCTGATTCTTACTGCTCTGGTCCACAATGCAAAAAAATGCTTAACACCTTACTAAATTTTACAAGCATGGATATTTTGCTTTTCTCCTCAATGAGAAACATTAAGAATCATAGATTTTCTGGTCCAATATATTGAATGATGCAAAAAGCCATATAAGCATATAACGAAAAAGGTTTGGGATTGTTAATATCTATCAAGTGGTTTTGAACAAAACAAAATTATTTTATCTGCCAGCATAAGAGTAATCTTTTGCATTTTAAGAAGCCACATCCACTGGAACTGTATGATAACATTTACCCTATGACAGATGTACAGGAATTTTTGACTCAACACAGATATGTACATATACACACACATATTTGTTAAAAAATCAACTAGCAGAGAGTAAATGATACTAGTAAGAAATGGTAAATTCATAACTCTTTGATTAATAAAAATACAAACCTTCAGTGATTTTTGCAATATAGGCTAGCAAGTCCACCTGCCGCGCTTCATCAGATGATGGTAGAGAATACAGAGGAAGTTCCTCTTGAAATTTGGCAATCATTTCTTTAATTAATCCAACAATGACAGATTTAGGCTGCAGAATACACACAAAGGGAAAAGTTAGGTAAAAATTTTGCTAAAGAATATGACCTTGTTAACCTACACATTGTATCAAGTTAACCAAAAGAAAATATTGCATCATGCTCTCAGTTTTTCAAAACTATCATACAAATTATGTGATACTTTTAACTGTTTTAATATTTTTAACTGAACAACGACTTAATTCTTGGGCCAGCCCCAGTGGCTTAGTGGTTAAGTTCAGCGTGTTCCCCTTCAGCAGCCCAGGTTTGGTTCCTGGGCATGCACCTACACTGCTCTGTTAGTGACCATGCTGTGCTGGCAGCCCACATACTAAAAAATAGAGGAAGACTGGCATGGATGTTAGCCAAGGGTGAATCTTCCTCAGCAAAAAATAAATAAATAAATCACTTAATTCTTTTAACTGAAAAGTAGGGAGAAATGCTAAAAAATGAGAAAATACCATGAAGGTGCTTATTAGCAGAGTACCTATATTTAGGAACAGTCTGTCTGTCTTTTTTTAAGTTTTTATTTTAAAATAATTGCAGACTTATACAAGAGAGTGACATCAGCATCATGGCAGAAGGAGCTCTCCTGGTGAACTCTCCTCTCCACAATACAATGAAAAAGACATTTATATTCCAAGAGAGAACATCCATGTGACACAAAAGATGTCTGAGAGACCCCCACAGCGATACGTTGGGAGGTAGAGGTGCCAGAGCCTCCCTTAGAGGAGGTGGAAGGGGGTAAGAGAAAGCATTCAAAGAAATAATAGCAAGAACTTCCCAAACCTGGGGAAGGAGATGGAAATCCACATGAAAGAATCTATCAGCTCTTCTAAATACATCAATGTAAAAAGACCTACTGCAAGGCATATAGTAGTGAAACTGGGAAAAGTGAATGACAAAAAATACTAAGGGCAACAAGGCAGAAGAAAATAAGCTACAAAGGAATCCCTATCAGGCTTTCAGCAGATTTCTCTGCAGAAACCTTACAGACCCTAGCCTAGGAGAGAATGGAATAACATATTCAAATCCTTGAAGGACAAAAATTTTCAGCCAAGAATACTCTCTCCAGTGAAAATATCCTTCAGAAATGACGGAGAAGTAAAACTTTCCCAGATAAACAAAAGCTAAGGGAGTTTGTAGCCACAAGACCACCACCCACCACCCCCTAACGCCCCCCCCCCCCACACACACACACAAGAAATCCTCAAGAAGGCCCTCATACCTGAAAAAAAAAATGGAGAAAGGGGTTACAAAGCCTGGAGTGAGGAGATAAATAGGTAGACAAAATCAGAAAATTGTAGCTATACAACAGGTTAGCAAATACTCAAGTAAAACATTAAAGATAAAGGGAAGGAAAACACCAAAAACAAAGATAATCTTGTCATTTTAATCACAAACTCACAACACAAGACGGAATAAGATGGAAAAACAACATAAGAAGAGAAGAGACAGGGGATTGAATCAGTTTAGTTTAAGGAGATAAGAGGCCATCAGAAAATGGACTATCTTATCTATGAGGTTTGAATACAAACTTCATGGTAACCACTAAACAAAAAAGCAGAACAGAGACACAAATGACAAATAAGGAGAAAACAAAGAAACACAACATAAAAAACTACATAACTCAATTGATAGACTAAAACACACAGGACGAGAAACAAAGAAAATGCAGAAGAACTGGAAAACGAGTGATAAAATGGCAGCATTAAGCACTCATATATCGATATCACCCTAAATGTAAACGGGATTGAATTCCCCAATAAAAAGACATAGAGTGGCAAGATGGATTAAAGAACAAGACCCAACAATATGCTACCTCCAGGAAACACATCTCAGCTCCAACGACAAACACAGGCTTAGAGTGAAGGGATGGAAGACGATACTCCAAGCTAATGGCAAACAAAAGAAAGCAGGTGTTGCTATACTTATAGCAGACAAAGTAGACTTCAAGATAAAACAGGTAAAGAGAGACAAAGAGGGGCAGTATATAATGATCAAAGGGACACTCCACCAAGAAGACATAACACAAATATCTATGCACCCAACATAGGAGCACCAAAGTACATAAAGCAATTGTTAACAAACTTAAAAGGAGGTATTAATAATAACACAATAATAGTAGAGGACCTCAACACTCCACTCACATCAATGGATAGATGATCCAAACAGAAAGTCAACAAGGAATCAGTGGAATTAAATGAAAGGCTAGACCAGTTGGACTTATTAGACATATATAGAACACTCCATCCAAAAATAGCAGATTACACATTCTTCTCAAGTGCACAGAGAACATTCTCAAGGATAGACCACACACTGGGAAACAAGGCAAGCCTCAATAAATTTAAGAAGATTGAAATAATAACAAGCATCTTTTCTTATCACAATGCTATGAAGCTAGAAATTAATTAAAAGAAAAAAGCTGCGAAAGGGACAAAGATTTGGAGACTAAACAACATGCTATTGAACAACCAATGGATCATTGAAGAAATTAAAGGAGAAATCAAAAAATATTTGGAAACAAATGAAAATGAAAACATACCATACGAATTCATATGGGATGCAGCAAAAATGGTACTAAGAGGGAAATTCATTGCAATACAGGCTTACTTTAACAAACAAGAAAAATCCCAAATGAGCAATCTCAAACTACACCTAACTAAATTAGAAAAAGAACAACAAACAAAGCCCAAAGTCAGCAGGAGAGAAATAATAAAAATAAGAGCAGAAATAAACGCTATTGAAACAAAAAAGGTAGTAGAAAGGATCAATGAAACAAAGAGCTGGTTCTTTGAAAAGATAAAATTGACAAACCCACAGCCAGATTTACAAAGAAAAAAAGAGAGAAAGCTCAGATAAATAAAATTACAAACGAAAGAGGAGAAATTACAATGGATACCACAGAAATACAAAGGATTATAAGAGAATACTATGAAAAGCTATATGCCAACAAAATGGACAATCTAGAAGAAATGGATAAATTCTTAGACTCTTACAACCTCCCAAAGCTGAATCAATAAAAATAGATACTCTGAATAGACCAATCATAAGTAAATAGATTGAAACAGTAACCAAAAACAGCCCAAACTGATTGAAACAACAATCAAAAATGGCCCAAAAAACAAAAGCTCAGGACCAGACGGCTTCCCTGGCGAATTCTACCAAACTTTCAGAGAGGATTTAATACCTATCCTTCTCAAGCTATTCCCCAAAATTAGGGAAGATGGAATGTGTCCTAACACATTCTACAAGGCCAATATCACTCTGATATCAAAGCCTGACAAGGACAACACAAAAAAGGAAAACTATAGGACAATACAGCTGATGACCACAGATGCAAAAATCCTCAAGAAAATATTGGCAACCTGAATACAGCAATACATCAACAGGAGCACACATCATGATCAAGTGGGATTCATACCAGGGACACAGGGATGGTTCAACATCCACAAATCAATCAATGTGATAAACATTAACAAAATGAGGAATAAAAACCAGGAGATCATCTCAATAGACGCAGAGAAAGCATTTGACAGATCCAACAGCCATTTATGATAAAAACTCTTAACAAGAGGCTGGCACAGTGGCGCAGCAGTTAAGTGCACATGTTCCGCTGTGGCGGCCCAGGGTTTGCCGGTTCAGATCCCAGGTGCAGACATGGCACTGCTCAGCAAGCTATGCTGTGGTAGGCATCCCACATATAAAGTAGAGGAAGATGGGCATGGATGTTAGCTCAGGGCCAGTCTTCCTCAGCAAAAAGAGGAGGACTGACAGCAGATGTTAGCCCAGGGCTAATCTTCCTCAAAAAAAAAAAAAAAAAAAATTGGGGGAGATGGTTATTGTGGCACATTGGAAAGAGTACACAAATAGGCATTCAAATTCATATTAAGAACAAAAAAAAATCACTGTGCTGTTCAAACAAAATTCTGTAGGCCTAATGTAGCACAGTGAATCTCTAGGGAAAATATCTGCAGTCCTTGGCCTAGACAACCTCTAGATTACCACTAGCTCCAAAATTCTATATAATTATAGTACACAATCATAATTACAATTGCTTGTGGAACTTAGTTACTGTAGAACTTTTAAATAGGACAATTTAAATAATGTAATGTCTTCTTAAGACTAGTTTTAGCTTTTAATAAAAAGGCTCAGAATAGTAAAATGAAATCAAGACCATCTGAACTGAAATCAAGCACAAACCTCAATGAGATTATAGAACTAACTCTGAGTATTTATTGAACAAACAAACAAAATTATGAAAAGAGATGCCAAAGAAAACCAGAAAGAGGAATCAGGAAATATGAATTCCTACAACAGGGCACAGATGTCAAAATATTGTTTGAGGATAATTAAAAAAAAAAAAAAAAAGAAGAAGAAGGGTAAAAATGAATGAAGGAGATAATTCAAAAAAGAAGAAACATATATGATCAATAAATATATGAAAAAGATTTAAATTCCTCAAATAACCAAAGAACTAAACATTAAGATCAAGACATCATTTTTGTCCTTCCAACTCACAATTTAAAAAAAATTTTTTTTAAATTTTTCCTTTTTCTCCCAAAGCCCCCCGGTACACAGTTGTGTATTTTTAGTTGTGGGTCCTTCTAGTTGTGGCATATGGGATGCTGCCTCAGCATGGCTTGATGAGCAGTGCCATGTCCGCACCCAGGATTCGAACCGGCGAAACACTGGGCCACCGAAGCAGAGTGTGTGAACTTAACCACTCGGCCATGGGGCCAGGTCCAACTAACTGACAAATTTTTATCATGCCTAATTCATCACATTTAACTGGTAATCTTATTATTCAAGTCACCAAGTACTGCAAACAATGTACAAGTCCATAAAGTGAAAGGTCAATGTTTCCCACTTAAACTCCTCTACTGACAATTTGGTGTGCATCCTTTCTTTTTCTGTTTCTTATTTTTTTAAAGGTTTTCCATATATAAAAAATATAGAAAACTATAAAAACAAAGTAAAATGTGTCCACAATTGCATACCTTTTTATGGATGTACATAAAATAAGAAGTGATAATCCTAACGCCATCCTTTACTCCAACCTCACACAACTCTGAAATATCCTGTCCTACAACTTTCTGGATACATATAAATATATTATAAATTATCCTTTCATAAAAATTTTAATTACTTACAAAAATGAGCGTATATCCTACATCCTTCTAAGTAAACATATACAGATGAGCAAAGGTTTGTTTTGTTTTCATGATAACACTTCTGTTGCAGCAAGGGTGCTATAAAGCAGGTAATCTCCTGTACTGATTTCTACTGACGGTAGAAATACAACATTTTGTCTACCTTTTGGAGGCCAATTTGGCAACATATGAGAATAGCCTTCAAAATATTTATAGCCTTTGATCCAATAATTCCATTCCTAGAAATTTATCATTATGAAATCATTGAAGATTTATAAGATATACATAAACATTTATATTTACATATATTTAAAGATGCTCATCATTAAATTTCTAACAACAGAACAATCTGTAAATACATTATGCAATATCCTTATGCTAGATCATCAGGCAACCATTAAAACCACGTATTCTGAAAATATTGTTTAATAAGGAGAAATGCTCAACATAATGGTAGATAAAAAATTCAGAATATAAAATTGCATAATGTGAGGACTTGTAAAGCAAATAAACTACAGTTACATACATCAACATGGGTAAATTTTTAAAACTTAACACTCAGTTAAAACAAAGCATGCTATATACAGCATGAGTCAATCTGCATAAAGGTCAAAAAAGGGCAAAACTACAAATAAATACATAGATTAGATAAGACTCTTTAATAGAGAGGGACTAGAAAATTATGTCCTAATATCTTGCTAGTAGCTTTCCATGTGCTTTATCAAGCAGCAAACAGCTATCAAAAGGCTGAGAGTGAACGACAGTTGGCTCCCAGACCTGGAGATAGCAGCTTCAAGCAGGCTGCTGTCATCAGCGTTCTAGGACCTGGGTGACCCCAGGGAGCTCAATTTCAAATTACTCTTAGAGACCGCATGAAGAATATCATTGAAGAAAATTCAGTAACTTATTTGACTATTAGGATCAAAGGCAAATATTCGGTAAAACAAAAACTTTTAAAAGAAAATCCAAATTGATCTTACGTGGCTCCAATTTTGGAGATAGGGCAAGTATATTCTGCCTTGAGCATCCACATGTTTTCCAACTGAGATTCCCATATTTGCAGTTGGCTTTAAGAAGCAAATGGGGGGAGCAAAAGGGTGAGAATCCAAAATCCACAAACGAATTGGTATGTTATATGTATTACCTATTTGAGACAAAATAAACACATCTTCAAACAATAATGAAGCATACACATTATATTTATGGTACAGCTGGGTGGCATTTCAAGACATATAGTCAAGTTTACATATACAGGATTTATGGAAATCAAGGCCTGTTTCCCCATTTTCATCCACATTCACATTGGAAACATGTTCCCATTAAAGTGCCACCAAAACATTAGAGGAAATTTAATTAAGACAATGGTCAGCTCATCCAATTCAATTCAATAAACATTTATAGGACCTACTGTGCCAGGAGTTTGGGATACAGCATCTTCTCTGTGTCACCTTTCCTGTTCTACCAGAACTCTCTCATAGTTCTCATATCTCATAGCAGAGCTATCTCATCTTTCTTGAAAGATAGTGGACTGTTTCTATTTTTATACTTATTCTGCATTGAAGTTATTTGCCTACATGTCTGTTTCTCTTTTTTACACTGTAAACTTCTAGAAAGGATAATGTATTATTCATTTCTATATCCCCTACACCAAGTATAGTGCCTAACATACTTGCTGCTCAATAAAAGTTTCTTATATAAATAAGAATTAATGAATGAATAAACAAATGAAAAGATGAATGAATGAGCAAAGATGAATTTGATACTAGCTCTCAAGTTGCTCATTAATTGCAGACACTATACCATACAAGCTGCATTAAACATGTAGAACTTAGAGCTGAAAATGGCCCTAACAGTCACCTTGTCCAATGGTTCTTACATTTTAGTATACTGAGATAGGAACTTGAGTGTATGCTCTTCCAGTTGTAACCATGAATATCATGCCTTCCAAGAGCCAAAATCTCTGACTGCCTTGGTTGCCAGGAAGCCCAAAGCTAAACCTAATACAAGTGCAAAAACCTAACCTTAAACTAGAAATCTGATAAACTGCCTTAGCTGTTCTATTGTATCTCTTGATATTTATTCCCACTTTCATAGTCTTATTGCATATGTCTTTCACTGTACTTAAGAACAAGGCTGCTCAGGAGCAAGAACGCCTAGGTTTAAATCCTAGTTCAACATATTACTAGCTATATGATTTTAGGCAAGTTACTTACCTTCTCTGTCCCTTAATTTCTTCCTCTATAAAATGGGAATAATAATAGCATAGGGTTGTTGTGAGAATGAAATGAATGGACGTAAAATGCTTAGAACAGTACATGACATAGTAAATACCATAAAAAAAATTGGCAATTTTTGCAATTACCTCAAATACATTTTGGAAATAGACCAGGTAAAAATAAAAATAGTTTTCTTTTCCACTGCAATCCTTTTCTTACTAAGGAAATTCTCCTTCCACTGAAAGCTACTTTTTTCATCTTGCTCCTCCTCCCCTAAAGTACAATGATACTCAGCCCTGCCTAAACATTAGAAAAACTTAAGGAACTCTGAAACATACTAATACCCAGGCCACGCCCCCAAAGTTTCTGATTCAGTGGGATGGGGTGTGGACAACACTTTTTTAAAAGCTTCCCATGTAATTCTAATGTGCAGCTAGAAGTGAAAATCAGTACCTTACAGAAATGTCTTAATACCTGAGGTCTACTATTTTATATCAGCAGTTCTCAGAACGATATTCCTTTTCTACTTTCATCTAAGTATTTTTTTTTTTCCTTTTTCTCCCCAAAGTCCCCCAGTACATAGTTGTGTATTCTTCGTTGTGGGTCCTTCTAGTTGTGGCATGTGGGACGCTGCCTCAGCGTGGTTTGACGAGCAGTGCCACGTCTGCGCCCAGGATTCGAACCAATGAAACGCTGGGCCGCCTGCAGCGGAGCGCACGAACTTAACCACTCAGCCACGGGGCCAACCCCTCATCTAAGTATTTTTTAAAACTTTTTTTATTGAGGTATAATCGACACATAACATAATATTAGTTTCAGGTATACAACACAATTAATTCAATATTTGTATATATTGCAAAATGATCACCACAATAAGTCTAGTTAACATCTGTCACCATACATAGTGTGTATGTATTTACAATATGAGTATGGCATATGTTGGGCCATAGATAATGCTATGATCATAGCACCACAGTGACCGACTGACCGGTACTGAAACACACCATCAAATTCCTCCAGAAGTTACTGTGTCTAATGTTATATACTCTAGACCAGTGTTTTTCAAACGTTAGTCACAACAAATGGGTCACGAAATTAATTTAGTGGGCTGCAAACAATAATATTTTAAAATGGAATTGAATAGAAAATAGAAGGTATTACAGGTAGTATGGTATTTCAGTTATATAGATATCCACACAAACACACACACACATATATATATGATAGCTATGTATGTATATAAAAGTATTTCTTATTCCAGGTCACAGTCACAAAGCCACTGTTCTAGGTCATGCAAATTTTTTTGTTTCATAATATAGCTGGAGTGGTGGTCCAAATCTCGATGGAGCCACTTTTTGTATTAATCACTACACATTAAAGAAAAGGAAAGAAATATCTATTGAAGGTACTAACAAGGATCTGATGCCTCCATCACTGCCCCTCCCCAGCAGCGTTCATGCGTTTTAATAGCCCGTGCCTGACAAAGCACCTGGTGAGCCTGAATCCTGGTCTAACCGGTAAAATTTCAATACTGGTGTACTCTATTCTCTTCTTCCTTCCTTCCTTCTCATTCTTTTCTGTCAGCAAATGCCCTCCCTCCTACCAGACCCATTTAGCTTTCAGTAGTTCATTACCAAAGAGTCAGAACTCACCAGATTTAAAGTAATTACATCATAAGAATATAACTTGTTAGCTGTACATAAAGTTTAGATAGGTATCATCTTATTAAGATGGTACACATCTCTAAAGAATGGGTGGATGATGGATGAAGAAAAAGTGTAATCACAACATTGACACAATTTTGGAGGGATGATAATCCAGAAAATTCTGCAGGTATACATAAGGAAATATCAACAAGAAGATTCATCTGGGGAATAGGACTGGCTGGAAGGTTAGATATAAGTGTAACCTCCTCTCTTCTCAATTGTTTAAATTTTTTAGCATGAGCGTGTATTATTATTACACCAACAAACTAGTAACTAAAAGAAATATACGCAAATAATAATGGCCAAGATTTCTTAAGCACTTACTATGTACCAGGCACTAGGCCAAGAGCTTTACTTATAAGTAATTCATTTAATCCTCACAATTCTAGAGTTAGGCTCTACTATTGGCCCATTTTTCAGATAAGAAAGATAATACATTCTGACCTTCTGATCAGCAGGAAATAACTAGTGTGCAGCACACTGAGTTGATATAATTCTAGTCAAAAGTAAAGAAAAAAAATGTACTGCAAAAAAAAAAAAAAAAAAAGGCATTGTAGGTACCACTACTACCATGGCAGACCCAGCATAAGAAGCAAGGACATAACTCCACAGATCTAAGAGAGGCAGAGTGCCAACAAGGGGCATCTTACTGGTGGTATTAACTTTTATGCCCTCCTGTTATCTCCCCACACTGTCTTAGAAACTGAAATGCTACTAAGCAATGATTCATTTAAATTCATAAGCTCCTCTGCTAATATGCAGCTACCCTTGAAATCACTGGAGTGGGTAAGTACTGTGAGTAAAATCAATCAATTATTCAAGGGAGTGGGTAACAATTCTCTCTCCCTTTCCAACATCTAACCATAATAAATGCAGAAAACAAGTAATGGGGACCAGGTCTGAGTAAAGTTCTCTAGGCAGCCAGAAAACAGTCTGAGAGTTTGGCAGTAGAGGAGCAAAGAAGGAAAATCAAACTCAACTCTGTGTGTGTTCTGCCTTCCTCACTGCAATTGCTGCAGAGCCTGATGCTGCCTACTTTCATCTGCAACCATATTCCTATGAGTAAAAACCAAACTGAATTCCTATGCATATCCTGTGCCAAAGGAGGTGACACAGTGAGACACAAACAGAGGCAGAACAAAACACAAGGGCACCTCTGGCAATAAGTCATCACAGGGAGGAAGAAATTAAGGAAGGTTTCTAACAGTCTAGGAACTACCATAAGGAAGCGCCTACTTTGAAAAAAGTCCCCCCAAATATAGCTTCTTGGCGTCTTTTGGGCAATGTATTCCCATCATACAGTGCTGAATCCTTTGTAAGAGACAGCAAACTCCACTGTTCTCCCCCACTTGGTTTCCAAATCCTCCTCAGTCCTTGTGCCGTGCACCTCCTCTTCCAAATGCCCAGTAAGTTCACTTACTCCTAAGCCCTCCAGTCAGTAATCAATAAACTAATCAATCAGTCAACAAAGATTTACCAAGCATCTTCTATAAACACAGCACTGTATATGAGTAGTTTGGGATGTTATCCCTCCTGGAATTACTTGTATTTTAAAAGAGAAATGAGTTTTTAACTGTGGAATTTCAGGTACCACTTCAGGGAAATCCATTGGAACCACTGGTGTTCTTCAAATCACATTATGTGAGTAGTCTCCCACGACAGCCATCTGAAAGGTTAGTCCCGTTGAGTGTTAGAGGCAGTAGGTCTGGATAAATAGGAAGATCTAAGTACAGGGAAGTTAGTGATTTTTTTTCTTTTTGGGTAAACACAGCAATTTGAACCTGCCAGGCCACCTGAAAATATGCTGCTTACTTTGAGCTTTAATCACCCCTATGTTTTAAAATTTTCCTACTGGAGTTTGAAGTTCCAGCCTGATCCCAGCTGTGTGCCCCTAGGTAAATCACTTGACCAGGCTAAGATCAGCTCACTTATAGAATGGGGATAAGGCCACGTCACTCAGAGGGAGAAGACACTGAGGTAATGGAGAAAAAGGTGGGATGCCCGCAGGATGCTGTGGAAAGCAGACACAACTCGCCACCAGAGCAGGCCTGTCTGCCTGGCTCTCCTCTGCATCCCAGCCCCTGGCAGAGTAGTGGGCACACAGTTGACACTCAATAAATAAACATGCGTTGAACTGAACTGAATTTGCGATATTAACCTAGGCCTTCCTTGACCAGGACAGCATTCTGCTATATCCAATAAGGTTCTGTATAGATCACATACATGTGAAAACACTTTGAGAGTGCTATGGCACTAAATAAATGTAAGTTCTTATTAAACCACTCTTTTAGAAAATTCCCACATCTTCTCAACTTCCATACTTACCATGATACATCACAGGAACAGTGCCAGTGAAATTCAGCAGGTCTTTCTGGGAACTATCTTTGAAAACTGGAAGAAAAAAAAGGCCCCAAAATGTGCAATCAGAAGTAGGAAGAACTGTATTAAAGTGCACACGTGTATACAAACACATACAGAAACACACATAACTTCTAAATACCAGCATCTAGGAATCAGTAAATGTGCTGATGAAGGGAAATGACCAGATGCTGTTTTCTTACAAACCAGAGAGGGTAGTTGAAAGAACACAGAACTTTGATACTGAAACCCCAAGTTCTAGGCCTGCTTTCTCCACTTAGAGGCCTGTGACTTTTGGTTAATCTCTTTGACCTTCAGTTTCATCATCTATAAAACAAAGATGATAAGACTGCACCATAAAATTGTCATAAGGATCAAATGAGATAATGTGAAAGCACTTAGTAAGAAGTAAAGGATTATAAAATGTGGGCACATTGTCGAGTAATTGTCACATGTAACAAATCAGTCATAATCACTTTCAGAAATCAGATTATAACTTTTATAATCAGAAAAAATGTTAGCTTTATTTTTTAAAGTGACCTTTTAGAAAGCTCAGTCATTATCTTCTTTGGTTCCTCTAACTCCATTATTGTCAGCCTTCTTTCAACCTTCACATCCCTGAAATTCCAACTTACCAATCAATAAGTGGGACACACTGGTGGAGAATTAATGTCCTAATCTCTGAACTGAATACAGAAAACACTACCTCTGGTTTCAAACTATCCAGCTGCCTTGGAATGTAGTCCTTTCGGAACCTCAGTAACTATACTATTTAGGCAGTGGAAGAAAAAGTTCTAAATAGATTTGATGACCTATTAGAAAGGGAAAAGAGAAAATCAGGCTGACAGAAAACCCAAGGCCAAGAGTGTACAGAAGCACAACTGTTCACCTTGAACTATTTGAGTGAAAGGGGACAAAGGGTGAAGGGATCTCTGCGGCAAAAACTAAAATGGAAAGAGGAGCGGAACAGGGATTGTTACTCCAGAACACAGAAAAACCTAGAAATGTGGCAGAGAAACTAGAGGTGTAAATATTCATTGTCCAATCAAATTATTCAAAAGCCAAAACAGAAGTAATTAGAATACGTGACTATCATTGTCTTCAATAACAAAACGTACATTGACAGTATTATTGTTGCAGGTTTAATGGCACTTTAGCTCACTTTCTCTAGATGAGGAAACGAAAATAAGAATTAACTGGTACAATAAAGCTTTAAATCTATATGATGAAGACAGATATTGTGAAAGAACAAGCCATATTCAAGCAGAGGGCAAGACGGACATGCGTACAAACCCCAACTCCATCCCTAACCAGCTATGTAATCGTGAGCAAGGTATTTACACTCTCTGAGCCTCAGCTTCTTTATCTGAAAAATGAAAATGATAACACCTACGTCACAGTTTTGGTTGTAATACATGTAAGATAACATAGATAAACATTTGGAAGCACATCTGGCATTAAATAAATAGTAGCTGCTATCTCCCCGATCCGGGCATTTACGTAGCACCAGTTAACTAGGTGCTAATCAACAGAGGCAGTCACTGATGGGCCAGAATCGAATCATTTCTTCCACATAAAAAATTAGCTATTCCTAAGAAATACTTCAATAATTTCTCAAAATTTCTAATATATAAATCTGCATTAGATAAATTTTCTTAACCCAAATGAATTCAAATATAAAACATACCCATGTAGAATAAAGGAGTTTTCCAAAACTGTATATTTTGACTAATTCATGGGTCCTGAAATCAATTTAGTCTCAATTAGCATTTGTTTTTAAATGGAGTGAAATGGAACAGAAGTGAGAATGCCAGAGTGTACACAGCATTTTAGCTATGTGTACATGGGGTCATGACGTAAAATGTATTTCCAAGTGTGTGTTGTGTTCAGAAATTTTTGAAAAATCGTAAAGCAAAATCTCTCTTAGGTAATCAGACCCTCTATGGTATTAAGTGAACACAACTAAAACTTGGTTATCAATAATTTAGAATCAGTCATGTATGTGGTAGGGAGAACAATGGCCTCCAAAGATGTCCAATACTCTTATCCTTGGAATCTGTGTGTATGGTACCCCACTCAGCAAAGAGGCCTTTTAGATGCCATTAAGGTGAGGACCCTGAGATGGGGATTATCCTGTATTATTGGTGTGGGCCTAATCGAATCACATTGGTCCTTAAAGGAAGAGAATGTTTTCTCTGGAGATTTCACTTCAGAAGGATGGTCAGAGAGATGCAACAATGCCAGCTTTGAAGATGAAGGAGACCACCAGCCAAGAATGTGGGTGACCTTTAGAAAGTGAGAAAGGAAAGGAAACAGATTCTCTCCCAGAACCTCCACAAAGGAGCTACGACCTGCCAACATCTCGATTTTAGCTCAGACTTCTAATCTGCAGAGGCCTGTGATGGACTTCCAGCCTACAGAACTGTAACAGTAAATCTCTGTTGGTTTAAAACACTAAGTTTCCACTAATCTGTTACAGCAGCAACGGAAAACTAATATAGTACAAATTGTATGAACTTAAACTTCCTCAGAAACTGCAGGTCACAAATGTAGCTCAAAATCAGGGGACAAAAGACAGAAATGAGAAACTAAAATTTTGTAACTCTCCAAGAACAAATAATTAATAGGTTAAATAATGTAGCAAAAACTAGAGGATACAATTCTTACCATAGGTGTCCATGGAATATCTGAAATGTGGGAAAAACATATTTACATTCTTTAGTTCTTCCATAGTTAGATCCCTGAACTTGTACTGAAAAGAGAAAAAACAAGCATGGAATAAGAATGAAGCTATAAGCAACAGATCAATTACAATTAACATTTACTGAACACTCATTCAGTGCTAGGTCCTGGGCTCAGTTTACAAACATGAATAGCATTTGATCAATCCTTTTAATAATGGCCCTATGAAGTAAGGCTTAGATGAGATGGGGCTTCCCACTGCTCTGCTTTACAGAAGATGAAAATGAAAGCTAGAGAATCGAAATAACTTGCTGAGTTAGATAGCAAGTAATAAAGCCAGAGCTCAAACCCAGGACCTGGATCTTTACCACTAAATCAAATGGTCTCCAAACACTTCCTTAAAAATTGGGCAGGATATACGAGCCCTGCCACCCCTGTCCCAGATCCCACTCTCATTCTTGAATACCTCACTCCCTTGAGGCAGCTTGCATAGCCCCTCCAACCCTCCTGGTACTGTATCCTGGGTTTCAAAGGGAGAACAGAGAGCAGGCAAGGTTTGCAGTCAGGCTGCACGAACCACCTCCTCATCCAGCCAGGTGCACTCCCAGGAATGCTGCTTTGGTTGCCCTGTGGGCAAAATCACTTCACTTCTTTGAACTTATTTTCTCATTTGCAAAGAGAAATAATACCCCCCTCCTAGATGTGTGCTGAAGATTAAATGGAAGAAAACAAAAGCATATTAAGAGTCTATTACCATTGTGAAAATGAAGTTAGAAAACAACTGCATTTATAGTAGCATCAAAGAGAATAAATTACTTAGGAATAAATTCAACAACGAGATGCTAAACTTAGACTCTAAAAACTACAAAACATTGTTGAAAGAAATTAAAGTAGACCTAAATAAATAGAAAGACATCCCTTTTTGATAGATTAGAAAGCTAAATATTGTTAAGATGGCAATACTCCCCAACAGATTTGACAATCCATAATCTTTATCCAAATCACAGCTAGCCTTTTTTGTTTGTAAAAATGTACAAACTGATCTTAAAATTCATATGGAAATCCAAAAGCCCTAGAATAGTCAAAATAATGCTGAAAAAGAACAAAAAAGTTGGAGGATTCATACTATAATCAAAAGACAGGCTATAATAAAGAAGACGGTAAGAAGTGTGGAAGAGGATGTGGAGAAATCAGAACCCTCATATACATACGCCACGGCTGGCGATCGAATGCTGCAGCTGCTTTGGAAAGAGTCTGGCAGTTCTTCAAAAGATTAAACACAGGTTGCCATATGACCCAGCAATTCCACTCTGAGGTATGTACCCAAGAAAAATGAAAACACATTCACACAAACGCTTGTACGCCACTGCTCATAGCAGCATTACTATGAGAGCCAAACAGTAAAAACAATCCAAATGTCCATCAAATGTTGAATGTATAAATGTGATATATCCATAAAATGGAATATTCAGCCATAAAAATGAATAAAGAACTGATACATACTAAAACATGAATGAACCCTGAAAACATTACGCTAAGTGAAAGAAGCCAGACACAAAAGGCCACATATTGTATGATCTGTATATGAAATATCCAGAACAGGCGAATCCATAGAAACGGGAAGTAGATTAGTGGGTGCCTAGGACTGGGGGAGATTGGGAGAAAACGGGGAATGACTGCTAACAGATCCTGTTTCCTCTCTCTGAGCCTTAAGTTTTTCATCTGCAAAAGAGATGCAACTGTACTGCCTACCAACTTCAACAGGTGCGTATGAGGATCTCATGATTAACGCGTAAAGGTGAGATATTAAGCAACAGTAAGCACAGGCAGGAAATGATGAACTGGCACAAAGCATATCTAAGTTACAGAAAGGCCTCGGGGAAGAGCTGTCTACTATTCACCTTAAAGTCTAGAATGGCGCAGAAAATTAGAGGGAAAGGGGAAGGTCATTTTAAGATGGGAAAGAGTTTGGCAGAAGAAAAAGTCTACGATTATTAACAACTTGAGGGCAGGAATCATCTCTTCATCTTTGTGTCTCCCCACAGGTCTTCGCACAGAGTATGCCCTCAATAAATGCAGGCTGAGAGGATGGGAGTCAGCAAAGCGGCAGATCAAGATGAGTGGAGCGGGTATAGAAAGCAATTATGATCCAGAGGACTGAGCACCAAAACTAAGTTGTCCCCTGGAATATACACTTATTAGGAACAAACACAATTTTCGTTTTGTTTTCTACTTAATATTATAAGCCATCTTCTACATACCCAACATCCTGTGAGAATGGGATATTAATGGCTGCATCGGGACATAGACCAGAACTGATTTAACTGCAAAAGTGCTAGAGAAGTTTGTCAAAGAGGGCAAAAGCACTCTTCCTTAGGGCTTGAAAACCCAAATGTCACTGCCAGTCGAATATGTGGTTTGCCTTTCTGACATGTAAACAAAAAAGACCTATTTTATCTGTCCTGAAAAAAAATTCATGTCATTTTCACTATATATGAAAGACTCTTCGTAATGTAATATCAAGGCGTATAATCCATTACTGCTCCTATACCAACCAAGAAAAGTCTGCATAACATTCTCTAAGGAAACGGGCCTCAGACAATGCCACGTGCTTAAAGGGTGCAGCATGTCACTAAGAAGAAAATTGGCCCATGAGATTCGAGAACTAAAGCAATTACACCCTCATAAAGATTAGTTAAGACTGAAAATCTGGGAAGCTACTAAAATTTTAATTTTATCTGCTATACTACAGTATGTTTATTTAGTAGACCAGTATTTATGAACATCAAGAGTACTCTTTTAGGTGCCAGGCCTGGTGGCCTAGTGGTTAAGTTCAGTGTGCTCCACGTTGGAGGCCTGGGCTCGGTTCCTAGGTGCAGACCTGCACTGCTCTGTTAGTGGCCATGCTGTGCTGCTGACCCACATACTAAAAAAAAAAAATAAAGGAAGACTGGCATGGAAGTTAGTTCAGAACAAATCTTCCTCAGCAAAAAAAAAAAAAAAAAAAAGAGTACTCCTCTATGACATTGCTCAAATGTAGGACACATTGAGGAATACTCTGCAGTACAATTTCATTAAAAAAATTTTTAGGGGCCAGCCTCATGGCCTGGTGGTTAAGTTTGGTGTGCTCTGCTTCAGCAGCCCAAGTTCGGTTCCTGGCATGGACCTACACCACTTGTCAGCAGCCAGGCTGTGGTGGTGACCCACATACAAAATAGAGTTAGTTCAGGGTGAATCTTCCTCAAGCAAAAAGAGGAAGACTGGCAACAGATGTTAGCTCAGGATGAATCTCCCTCAGCAAAAAAAAATTTTAGCAGGAAGGCATGGCTACTCACGGATTGAGCACACAGTCATTTCACTGTTTCCTCTTTTGTTTTTTAAAAAATGATTATTCAGAGGCTGGCAATGAGACCAAGCGGTTAAGTTTGGGTGCGCCACTTTGGCAGCCCAGGGTTTGCTGGTTTGAATCCTGGACGTGGACCTCCACACCACTCAAGCCATGCTGTGGCAGCATCACACATAGAAGAACTAGAATGACTTACGACTAGGATATACAATTATGTACTGGGACTTTGGGGAGAAAAAAAAAGAGGAAGATTGGCAACAGATGTTAGCTCAGGGCCAATCTTCCCCACCAAAAAAAAACCCACATAGATTATTAAAAAGAAATTAAGTGGTGAGACAGAAAACAAAGGCCCCTGCACTCTACAAGATGATGTGGACACAGAAAGGGAGGTGTACAGGAGCATGAAGAGGTCACCTCCCAATCTCCATGGGGACAGAAATGGAACACCTGGCCTTGGCATGACACATACTTTCAAATTAAAAATAAAATAAAATAAAATATAAATGATTATTCACACCTTTTGTCCAATTTTCTATTGGTTTTAACACTGATTTGCAGGCATGCTAATTTATATATTCTGGATACCAATTCTTTGTCAGTTATGTTACAAAATTCTTCTCTCAGTTTGTATTTTGCCTCTTCTCTCTCTTCATGGTGTCTTTGGTACACAGAGGTTCCCAACTGGGATGTAGTCAAATTCAGTAGGCTCTTCTTTGAGTATTTTACATCAAGTTCAAAAACGTCTGCATACTGAGGCCATAAAGATTCTTCCCTACATTTATCTCTATATGTCCTCAAGTTTGTCGTCTACATCTAAATATTTAATCCACAGGGAATTTGTAAGTTTGGTAAGAGGCAGGGATCCAATTTCATTTTGTTCCCATGTGGATAATCCTTTGTCCCTGCATTCTCCTTTCTGTAGTTACCTGAAACGCCTCTTCCGTTTTATATCGAATTTCCAAACCCATGATGAAGATTCTAAGCCGTCTGGTCTGTTCCACTGGTTAATCTGTCCATCCTACACCAATCCCACACCAAACCTTAATTAGCAGTCTTGATATGGGTTAGAGCAAGACCCCACACCTACTCTTCTTCTCTAAGATTATTCTTGACCCTTTGCCCTTCCAAATGAATTTTAGAATCAGTTTGAAAAGATCCCAAAATAACCTGTTAGAATTGTAACTGAAACTGCTTTCACCAATTTGGAGAAGGCTGATATGTTCACACCCATGAAGTTGGGATATTTCTTTAGGTTGTAATATTTATTAAGTTTTATTTATTTTCAATAAGACTTTTCATTTTCTCCATACAGTTGCTTGATTTTAAGGTACTGTTCACTTCACAAATGTTTCAGCATCATTTCTAGACATTAAGTTGTTATATTATTTGCCTGGTGCAAGGGCTAAGGAACTTCAGAAATATTTGCTGGACTGACTTGTTTCTAACCGGTTTCCTTAATTTACACATCCAACAAATGTTTATTAAGCACCTATGTGCCAGACTCTCCTGATGATAAAAAACAATTCCTGGCCCACTCGGTGGCATAGTGGTTAAGTTCACCCATGCTTCACTGGCCCCGGGGTTCACTGGTTCGGACCCCAGGCGGACCTACCCACAGCTTATCAAGCCATGTTGCAGCAGGCATCCCACATATAAAGTAGAGAAAGATGGGCGCGGATGCTACCAATACCACACTAAATCTTAATTACTTAGCAAAAAGAGGCGAATTGGCCGTGGATGTTAGCTCAGGGATAATCATCCTCAAAAAAAAAAAAAAACTGTCCTCTACTATTTTACTCCCACCCTTGAGAAAACCATTGCCTCTCTTTTGTCTTTTTCCTTCACTCCAGCTCCACCAAAATGATGAAGGTTTTTTAATACTCTCTTTTTTTTCTCCTCTCCACTTTAACAATTCTTCCCACTAGACAAATACATCATGCTCCTCTCATTAAAAAACTGGATAGAGTGGTGCTTTTAATTTCATGTCCTCTGAAGAGGAGACGAAAGGTATAACTCTAAGCATGATGATACTCCTCTTCCTACAAGATCTACACCTGTCCCAGCAGATAAAATCTTTCAAATCAAATCTATAAACAACTTCAATCACGAGGCTTCAAAACCTCGCACAGGTTTGCCAACTGCCCCAACGAAGAAAGACACAGGCAAAACCAACCAACATGGCGTAACTGGATGGTTTTCGCATGGGGAACCCCAAGAACCACTTAACTAGGAAACTGGTGAAAAACAGGGTTGCCTCGGTCTATACAGTGGTGGGGAAACAGAGCGCTGGGAATAACAGGTGCTCGTCATGCCCTAGACAGGTTAGGTCAGACTTCTGGGACAGCCCTCCCACTCAACACTTCAACATTAAGCGATCTCTTCTGGGACTTCAAGACCTGCCTTCACCCCTAAACCTACTCGGGTCTTTCATGCACTGCACAGTTATTTAGCACCTCGGTTGTTGTCGGGCGCAACGCTAAGGGAAGGAAAGACAACAGCACCGTCCCCGCCGTCAGAGTTCACCGCATGAGTAAGGTCTGTAAATCAATAATTACTCCACACTGTGATAACCAATATTTCTGAAAGCAAGCCGAGAGACGGAGGGAGTGACATCTGAGTTGAGTCCTACAAAAGATGAGCGTTGCTAGTCAAGGAAACAAGGGGCAGGCCATTTCAGCAGCGACAAAGGCGTGGTTAAGGGGACAGGCGACCAGTTTGAGACCAAGAGAAGCTGGTGGCGTGAGAAGGTCTCACCCGGGTGGAGGTCGGGGGGCCTCGGCGCTGCGGGCGCAGCCAGAGCCCCGGCCTCGGTGGGGAGGGGCCCGCGGCCGCTCCCCGCGCCGGCTCCAGGCCAGCCCGCCTCGGCTCCGAGCCCCAGGACGAGCCGGGGACACGCCTGGAGGAGCCCCCGGCCAGGGATGGAGACGCCCCGCAGACCCCGGGGCCCAGACCCGGCCCGGCGGGCGGCCCGCACCTTGCCAAGCAGCCGCCTCAGACCCTCGCAGTCGAACTCCATCTCCAAGTCCCCGCCAGGCGCCGCGCACCCAGTCCCCCGACCTTCTTCCGCGCCCGTCGCCAGACGGAGGCCGCCGAGGACCAAACCTTCCCGAGCGGCCCAAGGCCCCGCCCCTGCCCTGACTGGAACGTCAACCCGCGGTCAACGCCCCCGGCTCCGCGGCGGCTCCGCCTGGGCTGCGACCGCCACTCCCGCGGGAGCGCCGAGCGCCGTCGGAAACGCGCCAGCGCCGAGGGACCCGTGACCCAGCTTGCGTGAAGGAAACTTGGGGACATCAGTGAAGACTAGGAAGGACCCGAGGAGAAGCGGTAAAGGAGGTGGAAGCAAGTCGCGCTGTTCTGGAAGAGAGTTTCTAGGACGTGTTGAATTCAGCAGAGTATCGTGAAAGATCAAGACTGAAAATTGTAGCTGAATTTAGGAAGGAAGAGGTAATGCAACTTCAAAAGCAAAATTTCAGGGAGCCAGAAAGGGAAAGCGGAGTCAGGAGGAGCCTGGTCAGAGATCTGGAAGATAAGACAGCTCTGTGAAGGTGGTGCAGCATGCATGGGGCAGGGCTTGCCATTTTTTTTTTTAAGGGGGGAGGGGCGTCATAACCGTGTTGGAGAAAAAAGCCAGAAAAAGAGTTTGAAAACAAGAGAGGAGGTGGGTTGGTGGATAAGGTCATCTTGAGAAGGAAAGTGAAGAGATGCAATTTGCTGACTTTGTTTGGTCTCCTTGACTTGTGACTTACCTGCTTTGTATCTGGCTTGAGCCACTGGGCCTAAAAAGCCCCAGGAGCTGGATATTGTAACCATCAAGAGGTTGGGGCAGAAGGGTGATTGTCTTTATAGGACAGGGCAGGCATACATGACTCAATTAGGAGAAGAAAATGAAAGGCTAGAAGGAGCATTTATTCATTCAACAAACTTTTGTTGAGCATTGACTATTTGCTAGATAATTTTCTAGGTCTGAGGATATAGCAGTGAACAAAATAGAAAAAAAAATCAACTGTCCTAAGGCTATCATTCTTTTTTTTCTTTTTAAAGATTGGCCCTGAGCTAACATCTGTTGCCAATCTTTTTTTCTCTTCTTCTCCCCAAAGCCCCCCAGTACACAGTTGTATATTCTAGTTGTAGGTCCTTCTGGTTGTGCTCTGTGGGACACTGCCTCCACATGGCTTGATGAGCCGTGCTAGGTCTGCACCCAGGATCCAAACGGGCCAAACCCTGGACCGCTGAAGTGGAGCGCATGAACTTAACCACTCGGCCACGCGGCTGGCCCCGTGTCATTCTTTTATTAGTAGGAGGAGAGCAAAACAATAAATGTAATAAATAAGTAAATCAGACCGCATGTTAGAAGGTGATTAAATATTGTGGGGGATAAATTTTTAAAAGGCAGGATAAGAAGATCAGGGTAGGTCTCCTTGGAAGGTGAGAGTGTAAGTGTTCCATTTTGGAAGGCATTCAAAGCAAAGTCCTAAGTTAGGCGTGTGCTAGGGGAAGCTCGAAACAGCAAAGACGCCAGTGTGGCTGGAGTAGAATGCAGAGATGAGGAAGCAGAAGTAGGCTAAGTCAGAGAAGAAAGGCGGGACCGCGGATGCTTTGGGACAGTGGTTCCGCCAGTGCAGGCCCCAGATTTACAGCCTCAGCATCACCGGACACTTGTTAGAAATACAGATTCTAAGACCCCACCCTAGACTTAAGAATCAGAAACTCTAGGGGTGGGGTTGAACAATCTGTTTAAACAAACCTGGGTGATTCTAATGCGTGATAAAGCGTGGGAACCACCGCAAGAGCTTTGTAGACACCCGGAGACCATCAGGAACACGCGCACGCTTTAACAAGTTGGGTTGATTACTCCTGCAGTGAGGGAGCAGATGCTGTGGAGAACCTCGGGACAGCTCAGTAAGTGTGTTAGAAAGGTCCTGTTAACAGGTTTAGGTTTCGAGCTTTGATGACTTGGAGGAGGGTTTAAGGAAGCGAAGCTTCTCTTTGGATTGAGTGCCATCAGAAATCAGGGACAATTCTATGATTGGTGTCAACCTACAAAAATAGGATCCAGTTTAAGAGGAAAAATGTTTAGTTGAGGTCAAAGAATTGCAATTCGGGGAGCACAGAGTGAGGTAGAAGCCCAAAGAGTGTCCCGCTAGGGAGTAAGTCAGGGGCTTTTAAAGGCAGAGAAGGGAGGTTGTGTCACAAAGGATTTTGATTGGAGTTGGAGGCAGAGAGCTAGGCTTGGCTAAACATTGATTGACTATTGATTCTGTCTTCAGAAAGTCCACAATCCTCAGTCTTTGTGATCAGGGTGTCCTTTCTCCTGCTGACTTCTCGAACAGTTGCTTGTAAAACAATTGCCATTTTGCCCAGTCCGATGTTCAGGAGAGCAAGGCAGTTTCTCTAGAAAGGCGGCTCCGACTCCATTTTAAAATGGCTCCACTGTAGTTAGTTTTGACATTGGGTATCTCAATAAATATTACCTATAAGATGGACGAACTAGAATGAGGATAAAGCTGTCATTGATAAAGCAGCAGTCACTCATATTAATAGAAAGAAGAGGATGTTTGGTATTTCGTGGGTTGCATAGTGACCTTCTTTTTGTCTCTGCTTGGACAAAACTATGATGTGGCCTTGTCTCATTTCGTCATGGTCTGAGTGAGGCTGTCTGATGTTGGTGTTCTGTAAGGTTGTTATATCCAACAGGAGAAGAACACAGCCTAGCCGTGAGTGCCCGGTCAGCTTCTAACAACACTGAGACCTCGGTGGGTCAGACCAGTTCCCTGATGTCAGGGGCTGCTTTTTTCTTTCTTAGGCTTTTACTCTGAAAGAGGCAGCCACTGGAAGGTTTTGAAGAGAGGAGTGATGTGATCTGACTGAGTTTTAAAAAACTAAGCCTGACTGCTGTGTTGTGAAGAGACTGTAATGTGGAGCAGGCCTGGAAGCCAGGAGACAAGGCAGGAGGTGAGAAGACTGAAGGAGAAGAGGCCTTTTCGAGCACTTCAGCCAGATCAGACAAACCTGAGAAACAGCAGAACTTCCTGGGGCAAGAAGATCTAACATATCCTGTTAGAAATCCATTAGTCAAGGAAAAGATACCAAGTTAGAAGTGAGGCCTGAGCAAGCTTCTTCAGTCTTTTATGGAAGAGGCCTTCCGTCCAAACCACCAGGTCTCTCCTGGTTTAGTCACTATGAGAGAATTATAGGCACTGTGAACACTTTATGCCTGCTCTGTGTGTGTGTGTGTGTGTGTGTGTGTGTGTGTGTGTGTAGCTTTCATTTCCTGTGTGGAGAGAAATGCATTGCTAAGAATTTTATGTGCTTTATCACGGTTAATCTTCACAAAACTCTGTGACCTAGATAGAATTAGTACCTCAATTCTACTGATGAGGAAACTGAGGTTTAGTGTGGTATTACCTGTTTCCTTGTTTCTGAGATCCTGTTGAATAAGTGATGCATTACAACATTTAGGGGGAGAAAAGATTACAAAATTAAATATACATACCAATGTTAACATTTATACCTATGTGAAAAGCTCTTAAATGTGAAAAAGTGTGCGCCTTAAAATAGAGGATATATGGGATGATTGGCTCCATTTTACAGATAGGGAAACCAAGACTCAGACAGGTAAAATTATTGCAGAAGGTGATGTCAGAGGCGAGGTTCCTAATTTGTACATTATGCCGCCTCTCACTGCATGTGAAATTGTGATGAAATTTTGTGATGAATAGTCTCTAGGAAGCTGGAATTCTGTGCCTATTGGTACTTAGTCATAAGAGGCAGACTGTGTAGTACCAACATGGGCTGACGGCCGGTATGATCGCCCTCATCTCCTGAAACTGGCACTATTCGATCCTGTCATCTAACCAGGCTGAAACATTCCCTCATCGCCAGGCACACTGCGTCTTCCTGGCTTCGTGCCTTAGTGCCTGCCTGGGATATTATATTGTACGGGGTACCTGCCTACCTCCATCTCCACCCCTTTCTACCCCAAAGACTGTGAGGCCCTGGCAGATAGCGGTCAAGTCTGATTCATTTCTATATTCCCAGTGCCTAGCATGCTTGAATTTATGAACGACTCTGTTCTTCTAATATTTGGTAAACCAGATAGAAAGAGGCCTTCAATAGAAAGTTTGCTAAACGAATGCAAGCGTAAGGTGACCAAAGCCATAGGGAGAAGATGATATAGTGTACTAGTTCTCAGCCTTATTTGAGTTTCAGATTTTAAAACAAAATCTATTGAAAGATATTGACCTGTTCCAGAAAAATGTACATGCCAATATATACAGTCTATTTTGTGTCCGATTTCAGGAATGTTCATAGATCCACTGAAGCCCATCCCTGGACCATAGTTGAAAAAAGTGAAATGTAGTTGGTGGGAGCATAATTGGCTATAACCTTTGGCTAGAGTAATCTGACACACCTTTGAACTCCATAACCCCACTTTTGGAAATTTGTCTTACAGAAATAAAGTACCCAGGATATGTGTACAAAGGTGTTAATTACATTAAAAGGGAAAAAAAAGTCCCCAAACTAAGAAATGAGAAAGAGTATATTCTGACTCTTTGTTTGCAGCTTGAGAAAAGTCATGAGACTGGCTTGTTTAAGATTAGAATTTTTTTCTTGGTGCTCTGCTTTTGGTCTCTGTTTACACTCTTTGTTTTCGTAGTTATTGGTCTTATCAGACATATCGTTGGTATTCTAAATATCAGACAGATATATCCTTCTCATTTACTTCTTTTTTCCCCCATTTTTTTATTGTGGTGAAATACACATAACATGCAATTTACCATCTTAGCCATTTTTCAGCAGTGTGCAGTTCGGTGGCATTAAATACATTCATATTGTTGGACAACCATCACTACCATCCATCTCCGTAACTCTTTTCATCTTGTAAAAGTGAAACTCTGTACCCATTACACAAAAACTGCCTATTCTCCCCTCTCTCCTGCCCCTGGCAACCACTGTTCTACTTTCCGTCTCTATGATTTGACTACTCTCAGTACCTCATCAATGGACTAGAATAGAGAGCCCAGAAGTAAACCCTCAAATATATGATCAAATGATTTTTGACAAGAGTGCCAAGACCATTCAATGGGGAAAGGATAGTCT